ACACACACACACACACACACACACACACACACGCACACACACGCGCGCACGCACACACACACGGTGTCTGCTTGTTTACTAAAGGTTCTGTACAGTAGGTGCCGCTGAGCGATTGTGTTTTCCTGCACGCCAAAGGAGCTCCTGTGCATGTATGTGTCAAAGTGTGAACGACCCCTCAAGCTGTCCCACCCACCCCGCATTAAACCCCACCTACCCACATTTAAAAATGCTGAAATGACCCAAACGTCTCTGAAATGTTCTTTTAAGATGCCAACAGAATTCCAACATACCAGCCTGCATAGTATGTAGTCTGAAGTGTTTGAATCTTTTCTTTAGTGTGTACTTGGTACAACGCTGACGCAGACAAAGTAAGACACGCAGCGTGGTTGTTGGTAAGTGCTCACAGCACTGACATGTGAAGTGGCGACAAAAGAAAGGGGGTGACAGACTGTCGGGCGCAAAGCTACGTGTTGGAAGACGACTGAGGTCGAACTGAAAATGGAACAAATCAGGCAGAAACCGATGAGGAGGATAAAACAAAAAAGGCAGAAGAAGCTCGAAAAGAAAGGAAAGGTAGATTTTAAGAAAAGGTTACAAACAGAACAGCCGAATCACGGTAAAACCCTGTGCTGATATCTGTTAGAAAATTTGGCAGCATTAGTCAATAGTTGCAGTGACTGATGGAGATGATGATGATGAAGAGTTAAGTGCCCGATAGTTTTCCAGCCAGCTGATCATCATCACCTGCAGCAGCAGGCAGGACCACGCGCACCAACAACACAGAAACAGGAGCGACCGACACCTGCGATTGGTCGAGTCCTTCTGGAGTTCCAATGATGGACGCAGCAAATAATAAAAAAAAAAAAGAGAAACTGAACAATCATACAAAATAAAAAAAAGGTAATGACTGGTTGGCAAATAAACAGAAAAAAGCAGCTTTTGTAAAAACATTAGAGAATGTTGCTTAATAACAATAATAGTAAAGTGGCGGTTGCACTTTAGTTTTGTTCTTGCAGACAGGTGCCGAGTTCTCATGGTTACCGCTGGGAGCTCGTGTAATATTTGAGCGAGTTGCATACGATGGTGGACTCCAGATCTGAAAATAAAAATTAAAAAAAWTTAAAAAACATAAAGGGACTGATTTAAAACAGCCTCTGGGCATGAAATAACAAAATATTACATGGGAAAGAAAGGAGCGGCTTTACAGTTCGAGTACGACAGAGGAACAAATGATAAAATGAAGAGGAAAGGAAGAGCAGACGGATGTGAAAAGACTACGTCCACACTGCAGAGTCCTGGTGCTCAATTCTCCATCAGACACCACGTGGCCAGTTTATGGCTCTGAAGTGACCCACATGTGCAGAACGTGGACGCTACACTTGTCAGCATGTGTTGTTGTGCAGTCAGAGCTGACTAAATTAATATCCGTCATGTTCAGACAGAAAGTTCTGCTAGGAGTGACATATGAAGAAAAAATAATTAAAAATCAAATCTGTGCCACGTTTTCCTGCAGTGTGAACGCAGCCTAAGGTGAAGGGAGGGGTTGGATGTTTAACGATACTCACATGATGGGTGGGCTCTACCAGTGAGGTGGTACGTAGCTGTAACCAGGTGTCCCCTGGGGCCTGTAGGTTGGCACAGTAACTGGGTGTGCTCCAATCGGGGGGTGCTGGGGTGTTGTCAGCAGGGTCCCTACAAACATTTAACACCATAAATGAGAACCCAGCGAGGACTCCTAACAACGCCACGTTTCGTCAAATCACACGTGAAAAGCGAATCAACGCAGCGCGTCATCTGTGAAATGTGGACTCATCGTTAGTTGTACCTGCGCTCATGGCCATGGTGGTCCCGGCTACCATCCCCATGGCAGGCATGCCGTTGTTGCGAGGTGCGGGGACGGGGACGGGGGCGGGGTAGAGGGCTGTGGAGGGGATGCTGTTGGGCTGCACCACAGTGGTGTGATGGATCACGTGTGGCTGAGCTGCGTACACTGGTTGGGTGTAATATGCTCCCTGCAAAGGTGAAAAACACAAAGGAAAACACTTTTTTTTCTTTATGGTAGAAGAAAGTGTTCAAAATGTTTCCATGGGGTTCCTACACATTCACCAGTTTGAAACTCCAGGCTTTTCTAAACTCCATTTTCTGGATTACTCTGTCAATTCTCCAGCAATTTATGATTTCGAAGTAAAATCATTTTCTGTTTAGCCAGCATTTTGTTTACAAAAGTGCCCCTTTAAAAAAAAAGGTTATTTTTATTAGTCTAAAGCGATGTCACTGGGAACTCTGGCCCTATATTTAAAAAACAGGAAATCCCCCAGCTTCACAATGATGCCAAACATTATACAAAGGGATTTCTCAGCTCTATGGCAGCCAACAAAGAATGATCAACATCAAGGAGAATTAAAAAGATTATCTCTGAAGCCTGTTGGAAAACCTTTTTACTTAAAGGAAGATTATATATTATTACAAGTACAAAGATCGCTACATGGTGACTTTATGGACTAACTATTATGCAAATCTAAATTATGGCACAAATCTATATTTTTATACGAGTCATGCTGATTTTAAAACGTGCTGCCTGTCTCTTTTTCAACTTTTATCTTTGGGAGGAGAAATAAAGTCTGAAGACGCAAACATTTCCTGAGATTTTTCTTTTTAAATGGTAAATGTCCAGAGTTGAAAAATGCCATTAACGTTGGTCTTTCAGACTAGCTGCTTCGGTTTTAATATTATGAGACAAGCTTCTTTTCATTGTTGCCAACCGCAGATTCACACCAAGAAAAGGTCTTCATTTATTCCAGTGCTATAATAAAAAAAGACATTCAACAAATCAGACGCCATCTGAAAGGAGATGAAAATAAATGGACGCTTCATTCCTCCATTAACAACAATTTAGAAAATTGGAAGACTTGTGCTGAAAACGTTGTCCAGATTGCAGACCATTTGGTGTCACTTTGTTCAAACTGCTGCAGTAAATTATTTATAATCGGAGGAAAATGAATAATACCATCGAGGCGACGTTAATTTACTAAACGCGATTGCGTGAGACGGGAGAACAGGTGCAACGAGAACCTGATGTTCCTCTAGTTTGTTTCTGGGTTTCTCACCTGTGCGTAGATGTTCTGCTGAGGGTAGGCACTGCGGATGGGGTACATAGCTGTGGGGTACGGGGTGGGAGTAGGGGTATAGGGAGGAGGTGCTCCATTCGACTGAGTGGGGGGCACTTTGTATGGGGTTCCTGCTGGGGTATATCCTAACAATAAACAACAAGAAAACAAAAAAGGAAACAAGATTCAGTACAACAACCACTTTTCTGATAAAAACAAGATTTATTTGGTCTTTTGGACCAAAAAGTAAATCACAGAAGGGTAGTTATTCTAAAACTTATATAATTTAAACGAGTTGTTTGATGAGCAATGCTCAGCCTATATTACTGCACAAATGTTGATTTTGGTTTAAAAAAATAATAAATCAAACAACACAGGCTGAATGAGGAGGTTCAGGTTTGTGGTGGAACAAAGCAGGGCCAGCTTTTCATTTTCACTTTTCAGCAGCTGAGAGACGCTTGTTGTCTGGTGCAGGGCAGGAAGGAGCCTTTATTCCTGTAGAAAACAGCAACCTGCTGCGTCGAAAAACACTGATAAGAGCAATAAAGACGAAGTGAAACAGTCTGACTGCAGATGAGACTGAAATGTTCTGGGAGCTGAAAGGAACTGTAGCATTAAGGTGATCCCTATCTGATGGATGTCACTACTACAGAATTTTGATCAAGAGTAGTCGTGTGACTTCCTGTTATTAAAATAGATTTTTTAAGGTCGTATTCAGACCTGATAATTTGCTCCGCTTTAAACGTACCAGAGTTCGTTTGCAGCATTGGTCCGGACCTTTTGTGCAGGTGTGAATACAGTCATGCGAACTCTGGTGCGAATCAAACAACCGGACTGAGACCTGCTTTTTGAGGTGGTCTCGGTCCGCTTCCAAACAAACTCTGGTGCGGTTCGCTTCAGTTTGCTTCTGGTGTGAATACAGACCGGACTCTAACCGAACCAACTGCATTAAACATGCACCTTTTTGGACTTCACCGGCCACCGTTGCTGAGCTAAATAAACTGAAAACATACCTGTTTCGTCGTCTCCTGTTAGCAGCTCTGCTGGCAACATGTTGTGGGTCAGAACACGCAGAGCACCTCGTCTCCTTTGGGTCGCGGGACACATTTACTGACGCCGCTCCAAAATCAGAATATCATCACGGAACCACCATTAAATTAGCTGCTTCTGACATTTTAAATGTTATTGCAGTTGTACTATCAGCATAAATGTGCGCATCAGAACTGTAGCATGCAGGACTTCCTTGTTTTTTTCTGGGTCCGTGGCTCAGTCCCGCCCCCCGTCCTTTTTTGTCCAATGGGAGCAATGATCGTCAGCCTCATGGCTTTGTTTACAACTTATAGTTCTTTTGCAAAAAAGCACAATGTGAATGCAAACTGCACCACACGAAAAAAATAAAATAAAGTCCATTTTTGGTCTGGACCAACCAATTGGACCAAAGGACTTTCCTGGTCTGAATACACCCTAAAGCTGCTGTTTTAGCACAACCATCATGTAGCTCTGAGCTACTCATCTTTTGGAGAGATATATATTGTTAAACCAAACTAAGTCAAACAATTTTAAGGCGTAGGTACGGAGTGTTGGTAACCAGTTATTGTACTAGTCTACATTTTTAGCAATTGCATTGCCTTTAAAGTCCACCAGATGGGGACTGTGCTTCCTTTAAAGAAGATTTCAATTAAAAAAATAACAAAGAACAGCACATTCATGTAAAAAAAAGTCTCCTTCAGCAGGTTTTATTCAAGAGCTTTGATCGCAGCTTTCTTGTACCAGACATGGAAGAGAAACAAGCTGTGCAGGCAGCGTGAACAGACTCTAATTAATCACTGGTTAAACTAAATGGTTACGATTTGCAGCAGGAGTTGAATATATAATTTCACCCAGAATCCACCTCTCACTCAGACTGCACCGCTCCTGGAGAAAAACAGGAGGCTTTGAGGACAGCGATGGCATCCTGTTCAATCAGCAGCTTCGCTGTGTTTTAGCTCTCTGGGGTGCAGTACCTCTGAGCATCCACCTGGAGGAGCCTGAAGGTCAAACATGCTACAAGCTAGCTGCTGTTGAGCTTATGAAAGCCCTTCTCTCACTACAAGGACGAGGGAACAAAGAGATGCTGGGAGCTGCTCTGTGGCGAAAAGTCTGCTTGTGCTCGGATGTTTGAGCATGTGCGCACACACATGCTTTCACAGTCGCTCTTCGCTTTAACACGCATGCAGGGGCATTAAAGAACAATGGTGGTGACAATTGCACAAAAGCCCTGCTGATAGAGAACAGTTTGTCAATGGGGTTGAAGAATAATGACCAAATCACGTTTCTAATCAGACCACAGCTGGGCTCGTCTGGAGGTTCATTTTTTTTGTTAAAGTATAAAAAGAAACGTAGCCGTTTTAATGTCACAATATATTAAGCTCTGTGAAAAGCACGAGGGGGGGGGGGRGGGAAAAAAAGAGAAACTTACAATCAAACAACAACACAGGCTGAACAAAGAGGTTCAGGTTTCTGGTGGAACAAAGCAGGGCGAGATTTGCCTCGGCACAGCTGATATTTTGTTCAAACTCAAGGAGACGATGAGGAGATGCAGCTTAAGAAGCAGCGTAGATAAAATCCACAAGCCCTCCTGCTTTTGTGGTACGCAAATATTAGAGAATAGGAAGTAGCATTTTTGCTCTTTGTTAATGATATTTAATACTGAACCATTCATCAGATGTTTCATAGTCTTTTTATTAAAGATATTTTATCCAATATAATGGAACTTGAATCGTCGTTACCTTGTCAGCTGTAGAAATATTTCTGCATTTTTCTTTCTGCTTGTGCTCATGTTATGAATCATTGTATCTTAAATTTATGTTTCTTTTCTGGTTAATTCAGAGCTGATATATCTAATCAAAATTCAGCAAGGTTGTTCAAATTCTTCCTCCTTTTATTTTAATTATTCATTGCCTTCCAAACCAACACTAATCATTAACTGACTGTACTGGACATTATTTTTTTTTCCTCATCGCAGCATCATATAATGTGATAAAAGCTCCGTCTGTACCCCCATCTGTTTTGGGGAGCAGACAGTGAACCCCAGCAGAAATGTATCTCCTGCCGTACAGCCACTGACAGCTGCTCCTGGCTCCTTTCCCACTCCTCCTCCTCCTCCTCCTCCTCCTCCATTAATGCCTTCAGGCTGAAAGCAGCATTTACTCTGTATTACCTTGGAGCAGTAGACTACCTTCTAACTGTAATGATACTTTGATTTTAACAGCAATGTTTGATTTACTACAAATGTGTAACCACACATGGCTCAGCCGGTTATTAAATATGTAGGAAAACAATATTTGCTTTTGGTTAAGTATGCATTATAAATACATAAACTCAATGGGATACAAACCAAGTGCAGTAATGGATTCTATTGCAATGGAATTAAAATTTGAACATGACATTTTAATAAAACAAGAAGTGTCTTTACTTAAACAGCGGCAATGTTTTGTTTCACAACATAGACTGAATGATGTAGCTGGATAGTGCAGGAAATTATTTTACAAAAAAAAATAACAAGCCCCCCCCCCAATAAGTACACCCATTGGGAGACTTTTTCTTAGACCACCCTGACCCCCAGACACTACAGATCAGGTAGCTAAAAATGAGGCTTTGTTTTCGGTCAAATTTGCACTTGTCATTCGCTGATCAAACATTGAGATATTTTTATTTTCATTTAAAAAATAAGCTTTTCTAAAACGCTACTTGCCAGAAACTCTGCTGGCCAGATGAAAAAACAAAGAAAGAAAGGAAGTAGGGTCTGCGTGTAAGAGCTCACCTGGTGGATATCCAGGACTGCCTGTTTGGTAGAGGTTGGGAGTGTAGGTGGGAGCTGTGGCAGGATAAGCTCCTGGATAGCCTGTAAGAGATGAACAGGTGAGTGGGAAGATGTTAGAAACGATAACGTAATAAACAGGGAAATACCAACACACACACACACACACACACGCACACACGCACACACACACACACGTGAGGCAGTATTTGGTTTGAAGCAGGATGTGCGCAGATGGCACTCATTAGAAAAATGTCTGCAGCAATAACACAGTCGGTCGAATGTGTCTTACATCCACTGTTTTGGCAGACGAGACACACCTGCCAATTTGCTGTGGGAGGAGATAAATTCAGAAACATTAGGAATGCATAAAGACACGCGCAAGGGGGTAGATACGCACACAGTCTTGTGCGTCATAAATCACACGTCAGGGAAAACAAAGATGTTTTAACCTGAGGTAAAGCTCTCCCTGGTTTGATGTGGAGTTTCAACACCGATACAAAGAAATGGGGAAAGGATGAGGTAGACTTCTTTTATTTTAACTATCTTGTATTATAGATCCTTTAGTAACAGGCATTTAGCCAGAGGGATGTCAGGGCGTCTTTCTGACACCCTGGTCCGCTTTGCAACACCTTGTGGCTGTGTCACAACACACTCGTCCGCTTTACGGCACCTCGTGGACACGCCTATATAATACACGAGGCTGCGCACGTACATTGATTTTGACTGATGCCGGAGCTGCTCCAGAGTCAATCTACAAAGATCACGTCGCACCAACAAGAAAAGGAACGAGCACAACTTCTGTATTTTTAAAGTAAATAACCAATGACAGACCAGTTTTGTCGAAACCCTTGCTATATTAATAAATATATGGAAATATTTATAGATAAATGCTGTCAAAATGTATCATTCTGTTTGGGAAGCTGATGGAAACATGCAGCGTGCAACATATGAATACACACGATACATGTGGATTTTGTTTTGAAATCAAACGTTTCACAAACAACACTGATGCAGTTTCAACTGTGTTTACTCCGTCTACCACAGAATGAATTAGTTTGCCCTGACAAGGGGGCAGTGTTTAGACTGATTTTGTGGGCACCATTGTCAAAATTCCAACCTAAAAGCCTGTTTAGTATCGTATTTTCCAAACAAAGCACTTCCCTCTCAGGTGGCAGGTTTACTTGTGGTTCCTGGAGTTTCTAAAAAATAATWGAGCTTTCAGTTATCAGGGTCCTCTCTTGTGGAACCAACATTTAGTTAGACACTCWGCTAACAATTAAGACTAGGCTTAAGACTCTTTTTCATTTATCCCATAAATGGGGTAGGCTATAGCTTTAGATATGTTGACAGAGAATATTTTCTAACTCTTTTGACTTTACTCAAAAGGTTTCTTCCTATTAAATCAGTGTAGTTTGTTTCCACCATCACCTCCATTTTTTATAAAGCTTTTAGAAAAGCCTTATCGGCCAGGAACATTAGCTCAGGTTGGGAGATTCTGTCAAAGTGAAAACTCAACAAAGTCTGCTAATTTTATTTAACTTCTTAATATTTTCTAACATTCTTAATCTGATTGTACTGCACTATTATTGGACTGATTTGATTGTGTGTGTGTTTAAGTTACAATCTGGACCTGATGGATTGCATCAAATTCATGATTTGGACTTTTGGATACTATTTTTGTATATTGCCCTGAGATTGATTGTGTGTGCCCTGTTGTAAATCAGTGTTTTTATAAATAAAACAATTTTATCTATTCTACAACTCTCCATCTTCTCCACCCTCTGAAGGCTTATCAGATTGTACAGATTCAAGGTTTTAGGGTGTGTTCTGTCATTTAAGCAGATTAAAAGGAAGTAATAAGCTAAAGGTGGATTTAAAAAGTGGCCACCATGAAATGGGGAAGACATGTTTCTACATGTAGTTTGGCTTCAACTGATCTATTCTAGTTAAACCATCACATAGCATCAACTCCACTGTTGTTTACGCAGGAAAAGACTGCCTGACTTTCTTGAGTCATCTCTTTAAAAAATGATTTCCTGCCTTCGTTTGTTCAGCAGCCTCCATCCTGATGACACATCTGAAGTGCTTCTTCACTCTGTACTAGGGATGCACCATCCAGTTAGATGATTGGAATAAAACGTCTTTCATCTTGACCTGTGATTGGCTGACTGACCAATAAAACAACACTTTGTGTGGAACGTTTTACTAAGTGAAGAAGACTCAAATTTAGGAACTTGTGATTCTAAGTATTTATATTAAAAGGGATCTCTGATTAGTTGTAACATTAGACTTTATTTGATAAACATATATTTTAACTGTAAAATAATGACTGTAAAATACTGTAGGCTATTCAGTTTAGTAAATTTTTAAAAATATATTTTAACACGGACAGAGCCATTTTATTTACACACAAAGCATTCTGGGTAAATGATGACGTGGATAGGTCCTCAGTGTGAGCGAGCTATATCCACCCTGAAGGTTAATCTTGGACAATATCTGAAGATCGGCTCTTTTAAATGAAACCAGAGAGCGTTGACAGAGAGGAGAAGGTAGATATGACTCGGCCTGTAACAGAAAATATGGATGGAGAACAGAGCTGCTTCATGGAAGAAGAACCTCAGCTTAGCCTGTTAAGCCTGAAACATACTCGCTCCGACGCCGACCGGTCGACACGTGGTCACGTGGTTGCTCGGCATTTCTTTTCACACACAGACCTTTCATAGCTCCAGAGACACACTGCGCCAAACTCCAGGGAAACCCCTCCTGCTGCAACATACATCACTGCATGGAGTTTCTTTCCTCTACAGTTGACAATGCAGAAAAAAAGTCAAACTCATCACTCACCCGACATTATTTATCCACATCTGTCCAGGTTAAAGCTCCACAGTTTTTTATCAGTCAGATTCCTCCGTGCACAACGTCTGTTATATCTCCATTCATGAGTTTTTCACAGTTTGACTATCTTTATAAAACTCTGCTACCTGGTAACAGTCGGCTCTGAGAGCGAGTCATTTTCATTTTTTTTTAATTTTACGGAGCGGAACCGTCCGAGCGCTTTCAGCACAAACAAACACGCCCACGAACTTCAGACCAATCACACATTACCGTCGTCGAGGGAGGGGGGTAAAAAGTTCTGCCGGYGGTTTGTACCAAAAGGGGCGGCCGAGCCGATGCTGCAAAACAGCAGTGACACAATTTTTGTCATGAAACTGCGACAACCTGTGCCGACGTCAGCAGTTCAGAGGGAGTATGTTTGTTTCCAGCTTGTCTTTGCGCTAGCGCCGACTCTATGTTGCCTAATATTTATTAGCTCGGCTCTAGCGCGACAAACAAGCTAAACTGAGGTCCACCATCCATATGTGAGGAGGACCCTACTCAAGGTGAACCCCAGGAAAGCTGCAGGTCCAGACAACATACCCGAATGCTTGCTCAGAGACTGTGTGGACTCACTCACYGACGTCCTCACAGACATCTACAACATCTCTCTGAACCAAGCCTTCATACCAGCAAGCTTCAAAGTTCAAAGCCACCACCATCAAACAACTACCCAAGAAGTCACCAGCATCATCACTCAACGACTACAGACCCATAGCACTCACTTCCATCATGATTAAGTGCTTTGAAAAACTGGTAAAGGCCCACATAACATCCATACTCCCCACTACTTTGGATCCATATCAATTTGCCTACCGCCCCAATCGCTTCACTGATGACGCCATAGCAACAGCACTCCACCTCTGCCTGGCTCATCTGGAGAACAAAAACAGTCACGCACGGTTGCTGTTTATTGACTTCAGCTCTGCGTTCAACACAGTTATCCCACAACATCTGGTGAACAAGCTGAGTTCATTAGGCATCAACATGTCACTGTGCAACTGGCTGCTGGACTTCCTAACAAACAGACCGCAGACAGTCAAGAGTTGGAAACAACTCCTCAGTGACCAGCATCATAAACACCGGGGTGCTGCAAGGATGTGTACTATCTCCCCTGCTGTTCACGCTGATGACCCACGACTGCAGTGCCAGATTTGAAAYAAATCACATCATCAAATTCGCAGATGACATGACAGTGGTGGGCCTCATCAGTGACAATGATGACTCAGCGTACAGAGAGGAGGTACATCAAGTCATCAACTGGTGTGACAGAAACAACCTGCTACTCAACGTCAACAAAACAAAAGAAATAACTGTGGACTTCAGGAAAGAAAAACCTACTCACATCCCACTCATTATCAATGGCAGTGCTGTGGAGTCTGTGAAATGCACAAAGTTCCTTGGAGTGCACATCACAGATGACCTCATATGGACTACAAACGCCACCTCCCTGGTCAAAAAGGCTCAGACACAACTCCACTTTCTGCGGAGGCTGAGAAGAGCAAACCTCCCCACATCTGCTCTCACCACGTTCTACAGGGGTGCCATTGACAGCATTCTGACCAGCTTACGGTGTCGCACAAGCAGACTTGGAAACAGCTTCTTTCCCCAAGCCTCATCAACACAATGAAAAAAACCAAAAGAATATTTCAAGGATGATGAAAAACATTTCATAAACATTTCTTTCACCGCACCACTTGCACTATATTCTTTGCACCTTGCATATGACATCTACGTTACCTCACATTATCTGTATGCCCACTGACTGTACCTCGGCTGCTATGTGTTACCTCTGCTGCAATGTGTGTGTGGTTGTGTATTTAGTGTCCATTAATACTGTATTTTTATTGCACAGGGCATTGTAGTGTGTGTACAGTATTGTATCAATGGGCCTCATGCAAGAACCGTTCGTACGCACAGATTTGTTCTTAAATTGTGCGTACGAGTGATTTAGGAGAATTTGTGGCATTCACCAA